CAGTGGCGTATCATTTTTTTCTTTAAAAATATCCAGAGACGTGCCTATGCCCACGCCACTGGTGAAACTGAAAACAATATTTTTATCGTAAAACATGAACTGCTATTAACTGTTAAAGCTTGCAAAATTTCATTGAAATATTCTGAGCGGTTTTCGCAATATTTATAAATTTGCATTCTTTTGTTAAAACTTTAACACCCTGTAGATCGGAAACTAAGAGCTTTTGGAATATGGTATATTAAGGAAATATATCTTAAATCACTTGTACTATAACTTCCTGCTCGGAATGCATCTACTTACCAAACACCCTGTAGGTATACAGATTGTTTCAGAAAGACCTCCCGTAAATACAGGGGGTGATAGAACGACAAAAAAAAAATAATTTTTTGTCGTATGAACTATATGTCTATCTTCTCTTGTTTTCGAGATACAGAGCGAAAAATAAAATTTTTTAAATAGAATATTTACGAAATTTTTTCGATATTTCATAGAGGGCGCTAGTTATGCTACATCCCTATTATATTTTAAGTTCTAATTTTTTTTAATGTAAATTCTAATGTACAATTTTATTTTCTAAAAATAATGTAGGTACTCTTGTTAGAACTTCCTAATGTGGACGGTTTTCGAGAAAAAAGACTTTTAATTAAAGTCGGTGTATAAAATAACTTTTCTCAAAGTAGGCTTATGTCAAAATTTATCGATGGATGTCTCATAAACAACGCATACATCCTTAGTAACATTTTAAACTCTAATTAACCCTATTAAAATTTTAGTGACTGTTAGTGACTATAGTTAGAAATGACTAATTAGTCACTAAGATTTTGATATAAAGTTAATTAGAGTTTAAAATATTACTAAAAATGTATGCGTTGTTTATGAGACATCCATCAATAAGTTTTAACATAAGCCTACTTTGAGAAAAGTCACTTATTTTATACATGCTTTCTCAAAAACCGCCCCCATTAGGAAGTTCTAATAACAGTACATTATTTTTAGAAAATAAAATTGTACATTAGAAATTGGAGACCGAATCGTAAAAAACTTAAGCTTAAAAAATTTAGAACTTAAAATGTAATAGGAATGTAGCATAACTAACGCCCTCTAATAAAAATATCCAAAAAAATAATTACACCAGCGTATTTGGCATCCTTAAAAACCCCGGAATACCAAATTTCATAAAAATATTTCGCACCGTTTAGAAACTTTCGTAAAAATTCTATATAAAAAAATGTTATTTTGTCGCTCTGTATCTCGAAAACAAAAAATTCTTATTTTTTTATCGTACTATCATGCCCTGTATTTCGGGAGGTCTTTCTGAAACACCCTGTATATGTATGTATTTCTAGTGACTACTTAGTCGCAAATTTTTGCTGTTTATGTTGCATTAATTTACATCAGAGCCGGATAATGAAAATTGAAGTGGCCATATTTTTGTAAAAATGAACGGATACCGTTTTCTTAGGAGATAACGTCTAAATAAAGAGAACTTTCGTGTTGAGAAAGTTTTGGTCGAAATTTGGGATATATATAATTAAAATATATGTAAAATCGTATGGGTCGTCAAGAATATTTTGCAATACAGTGTAAAATGTTCGACTATTATTGTCTGTAAGTAGGTATTTATTTGTCTCGATATTAGGCAGTTTTTTTGGTTATTTTATCATCTTACGCAATTAAAAAATATTCTTATATATAACGAAAACGGTTGTTCGACATCTAATGACGTTATAGGTGCATATTTGAAGTAATCTCTAAAAGCAGTTAATGAATCCATGGGAGAGCTATTGCTATGAAGGTGTCTTCATCTGGAGAAGTCATTGTCAAATTTTCTCTGGCATATAGCACTGTTTGTATGTCATCTACCATTTGCAGTGATTCATCTAACGGTAATGCAGTATTTTGTAAGTTTTTTTATAGCATCTGCAATTGGAATGTAATTGTTGTAAATATTCTCCAACTGTGTCCAACTCGACTATCTTGAAATTTTATTTGGCTCTTCCGAATAGCAGCGGATTGTTTGGCATCGAATTGTAAAATTACGGATTTTATTTTTTGAAAATGTTTAAAATAATGAAATGATGCCGCTAACCATGTCCCCCATCGTGTAAGAATGGGTTGTGGAGGTTCTGGAATGCCAGGACACTATTGCTGGAATTGACGAATACGTTTCGTGGATTTGAAAAACACTGCCTTGGTCTGTGCTATTTATTAATTAATCTCATTTGGGTACCACCGACGAATTGTTTCTACTACAAGATGCAATGCGTGGAGAAACACTTGTTTGTTAGTACTTAATTTCGACATACCTATGTATTTACTTTTTAAGACAGAAAAAATTTCATCGAAAGAACAAAAAACATATCTGACACGCTGCGACGTAACCGGATACTACCTACCTACCTACTGCTGTCGTTAGAATGTCGATTATTGCCGATTCCGGTTTTATTTGTTATTCCTAGCGGAACGGCGGTGTTCCCTCACCCATCCTGCCGTACGTTAGTGAAAACGAACTAAAAATGTCGTGCCTTACTAATCAGTCAGTCAGTGGCTAGTTTTAGTACATGTTTTTGCCCCAAAAGTTTTCTTGTTTCAAAATATTTAACATTTAAATCTTGAAGTAAAAAAAACTGAATTTTATGATTTATAGCTACAGTTTTACGAAGTCTCTTATTATTAAATTTCATATTCTTGTTTAAAAAAAGTCCAGTGCCCAATACAAATCTGATATGTATTTTGTGTGTTTGTTGCGTTTATCTGTAGCGATAAAATTTATCAATATCGTTTGTGTGCAAATAGATTTGCCTTAAGGTAAGTAAATAATTAATAACTACAATATTATTAAACTAAAAATAATAAAAATTTGTTGTAGGTACTTTATTGTTAGATCAGAAAACATTTTGAGAGAAGCCGCTGTTCCAAATTGATTTGAAATAAAAATGTTGAATTATAATATTTTTCGAATCCGTTAGTAGTTATGAAATAGTGAAAAGAAGCAATCCACAAACAAATTTAAATGTAAATTACAGTATATCAAATTACTAGCAGCTTTCAGACAAATGTCTTCTGGAAAAGAAAGTTGTGTAAAAAATATAGGCAAGATTTAAAATTACTTTTTTTTTTAAGAAATTCCCTCATTATAGCTATAAAAAATGTATCAACGAAACATTACATTATTTGCGCGTCTTAAGCCAGGTCCACATTAGTAAAAATGTACATTGTCCATTGCCGTTGAATGTAGAAGTCGATACAAGTGTTCGTTCCACAAAGACATAATTTTTGTTGATATACGGGGTCATTCACAACTCAATGGACGTAGAACAGGTGCGTGTAGAGGACACCAAAACAAATTGATTTTTCATATGATTTTTTTTTCTCATACCTACGGTTGCGGAGATATTGGCCTCAGAAAATGTCTTTAAAAAATTGAAAAAACTCCGCATTTCAGCAATGCCTTAATACAGAACAACCAAATTTTGTAAATATATTTGCAAATTTTCAAAGTGGCCTCCTCAACTTCGATACATTTTCATACTCGTTTACCCAAGTTTCCAATTGCTCAACGTATCGATGGCAATCGAAATCGACGATTATAATTTATTTTTTGTCATGTGTTTTTATCATGCGATTTTAAATAATCATCAAGAAAAAGAGACATGTCGCTGAGATTACTTTTTTATGTTCTTTTCGATAATCGTATGGGAATACCAAATAAATACATACTGGGCGATGTTTTCTAGAGTTACAAAAAAAATTAAAAATTTTGCAGTCCGGACCTGGAATACATATTATTTAAAGAAAATGAGGTTTAAAATATGCATGCTTATTTACAAAATCTACCCTCAATTAATCCTTCGCTAATTTTAGTTGCAAAACCATTTTTATCATGTGTCCTTTACGTAATTTAGTTTTAGAAGCCTTAGTTTCGTATATTCAATAGCTTATTTAAATAACCACCAAAGTGTAACAAAAAAAAGAAAGACGTCCTTAAGATCACTTTTTTATGCTCTTTCCGAATATCGTATCGGAATTTCAAAAAAATACATACAGAGTGTTGTTTTCTAGACTTGCACAAAAAATTAACAATTTTTGCAGTCCGGACCTAGATTCTTTTTGCTGTCATACATGCATACATGAAGTATCGTGAGTGCATTAACCCTACCAAATATGAATCCATTATTCCATTCCCTACCAAAGTTATGACATAAAGCAGTTTTGACCAAAAATCATAAATCACCCTGTATCTCAATAAAGAATGGTCAAGAAGTTATTTCTATAGGCGATTTACACTAGATGTAAAGCCTATTAAGCCATGCCCCTCACGTGATGCAACACCCTGTATAACCTCCCCAAAACTCGATCTTTTCTTTTAAACGTTAGAGGAAAACATGAAATGAATGTTTACATTAAATTTTTTTTCTTAACCTTAAAGGTCACACTAGTGCGAGTTGGGATTTTGCCAACTTTGAACCTTTATGTCTTCATTATTTGTTAACGAAAACAGTGTATTTGTATCAAAACTGGGGCAAAATTTTACGAGAAATCGAATGATGTAATTAAGTTTGACAAAAAAATAATTTGTTAATAAAAAATGCGATTGAAAAAAATATTTTTCGAAAAATGACTTTTTTTTATTTCGAATTTTTTTATAAGAGAAAATGTAAAAAAGAATTTTAAAGTTCAAAGTATATATTTTTAAGAAAAAATACCCCATATTGATAAAATGATATTATCAATTTTTCTGGTATCTCGAATACAAGCATTTTTTGGAGTTGTGATTTTTGGCTCCTTTTCTGTAATTGATGTTTATTTTGCACTCTTTTGTATAAAAATGTTAATTTAAACAATATTATCCACAAATATTGACAGATACATGTTACAATTAATCCATTAATAAAAAAATATTAACAAAAACTAAATAAACAATGTTTGAATCTATTCTACACGTAAAATGAGGTGAAAAAAATTGGAAATTTGCATTTCAGTTTACTTTATTTCTAGATTATGTCACACTTTTGCCCACACTAAAGTCACACTAGTGCGAATTCGCACTAGTGTGACTTTAGAGGGTTAACAATTATATAGCTAAACATACAATTGCACAATATTGTATCACTTACATTATTTTATTCTGTATCAAACTTATATAAAAAAATTACAGAGTAATACCTGCCTGAAACAATACATCAATACATTCCAAGTGATTACCTTTAATTGATATCCTTAACGCATTTTTTTTACCATAAGTTATATTGCGTGTGAAAAGCAATTTTACTATTTTAGAAAAATTATTTTTGCAGGCAATTGTTAAAGGAGTTTCTTTCATTTTATTGACACAGTTTACATTTGCTTTATATTTTAGTAACAACGCTACAATTTCTATGTGGTTCCTCCTAACTGCATGATGTAAGGCAGTACATTTGTTATTATCGTATAAATTTAATTTGGCTTTATTTTTTAAAAGCAGTACAGCAATATTTGCATGGCCCCAAGAACTAGCTTTTATCAGAGGTGTAAGGCCATAATCATCCTTTTCGTCTACCTTAACACCCCACACTAAAAGTTTTTCTACGCATTTGAAAAACCCTTTTGAGGCTGCGTAGTGCAAAGCCGTCATGTTTTTATTGTTTCTGTGTAAAACGTTAGCTCGGTAAGACCGTAAAATTATAGCAACTTGGATGTTATTAAATATAATACTCATGATGAAAGGTGTGTTACCATTAGAACACACGGAATCAATGTTAATTTCGGGAAAAGCTTTAATGATTCTTTTAATGCACTTCACGTGGCCTCGACGTGCGAGAATATGTAAATGACTTTGGCCTTCCAAATTCTTTTTGTTCAGAAAATCTACGCCAATGTCTTCTTCATTAAAGAAGTAGTTTAGAAGCGAATCATCTCTTTGGTTGCAGGCAATATGTAATGGTGTGTTTCCTTTTTCGTCCACTCCCCAGTCATCTAAGCAGTACTCGTTTGTTAGTTTCTTTACAGCTTCTAGGTTCTTCGCAGTAACTGCCAAGTGGAGTAAACTCATTTTAGAATGTCCAATCTAAAATATGAACGGATTAAAGCATTCTATTAACACAGGCATACAAAATAAACACTTGGTCTATTCCACGGATGAGACCTATGTCATCCTGCGTATTTGGATTTCCATAAATCTCTGACATCCATAAAAGCGGCCAAAACCAGAAGGTTTTGGTTACTTTTATGACCATCCAGTAGGTTTTTCCTTGAGTACAAGTCAATGCGTCGTATTGCATAATTTGGGTATCCTAAGACCCAATCAACCCTTGTATCCTTTCTGTCAGAAAAGTACCTTTAAAATATAAAAATCGATAAAAATCTGCATTCGTCAAATTCAGGTCACAAACTCAAATCACAAATTTGCAATCCGGAGATTGCGAAATTCGATCACGCTAAGCAGCAAACAAATTAGTGATACGAGCTTATTTAACAGTTTATGGATCCACAAACACTGCACACAGTACGATCGAAGCACCAAATACCGATCTAAGCACCAATTATCGATCTAAGTATCACATATCGACTAAATTATAAATCTATACCACTTCTTTGCAGGAAACGAGAAACAGCCACTGAGTTTTCGTTGTTTTTAAAGGTGGTTTCAGCAGTGTAAAAACCTAGAGGGTGACGGAGCATTCCAGATTCGGTTTCTGTGGGTCCAAGTACATAGGGTGACATAATGGATGCGATCCGTAGAATAGAACACTTTATTGTGTGTGCCTGTGTAAGTACAACGAAATATATGAGGGTATTTCGAAACAATTTTACTGCAATTGCCAGTGGCGTAATAGACGGGTATTCAGTGCCAATTTTTTTAAACAGAATTTCTACGCACATAGGTTCTTTGAAATTTTTTATGATATTTTTCGAATCGCTAATCAGTTTCCAACGAAAATCTGTTTTTGCAAAATTGCGATAGAATTAAAGAGACCTGAGTAAATGGCGTGAATTACTTTCAGTGCACATACAGATTACACAGAATTTTAGTTGAAACGGAAAATGTTTATTACAATTTTTACAAAGATAAATTTGTTAAGGTGCTGCTAAGTAGAAAACAGGAATTAATTAAAATAAAACAGTAACAACCGATGAATATAGTAGTAAAGAGAACTTCAAGTAGATGTTCAAAGTTCTTCTGGTACCTATTAACAATTATTTATTTGTGTTACTTGATAACTATTGATCAACAAACAAGTTCATCTCCTACCAGATCTGTCTGATCAACTAAAATCTTGTGAAATTTGTATGTGCACTAAAAGGATTGGATGCCGTTTACTCAGGAACCTTTTATTTTATGATAATTTTTCGTTTGAAATCCTGGTTAAAACTCGTCTACCATGCCACTAGTGGTTATAGCGAATCATTTGTCTCATTCTTAAAGGACATTACATCGCTACAAGTTATATCCAATTTGGTTTTGTTATTACTTTCTCTTTTTTATTATCATAAAACAGGTCAAACACTTAAATTCGATCAATGTTTACCTGAAATTCTTCGTTCAAAATCATGTCTCCTATGAACAGTCAAAGTTAGTACGTTTAAAAAGGGAATACATTGTATGAAAAAAGATCATATGTATGTTAGTTAAGGTATTGGTTAAATAAATCAGATGATCAAGTATACATTTTCATTGGATATTCTGTATATTATATTTCTTTCGAATGTCTAAGGATTTCTCTATAACATTGTCAAAAAGGCACGCAATGCATAGTGAATTATAAAAGACAAATTGAAGATGGCGTTGTATTTTTTTAAATATCCTCATATAAATCTGTAGAATGTATACTATGTACTGTAAGCCATTAAAGATATTTTCACCTTTATATTATTTGAACCCTTTACGTCCAATGTAGTAAGTATATTTTTGTAGTTATTTTGTATGCTATGATATAGCAAATAATATTTCCTTTGTTCTATCAGAGATAATGATGATTCTGTAATTATATTTCTTGTATGAAGTAATGCATCTAGTTCCAAGAGTGATCCTGAGAGCAACGCATAATCAATAGGGTTCAATTTAAGTAGAGCGTCAACTTTTAAAATATCTATTATTATGCCAAAGAAAGAAATTTTTGACAAATATTGATATACATTTGCTTTTGCTTGATCAGGTTTCACCGATTCTAAAGGTTTCAGCAAAATATCTTCACCATTTCGAACTATTTCGGAGTGTATATCTAAGTTTCTCACGAACTCTTCATTTTTTGGCGTAATTCCAATATCAAAGTAACTGCCATAACCAGATAATAAATGGAATATGTTCCTTCCAAGTAAATCAGTCTTTATAAAATAACTGGGTTGATTAATGAATGTTTCGATTTTATCTTCTTCTTTGTTGAGAATAGCAGAATGAAGTGGCAAATTCTTAGTCAGCATGTTGTCGAAAAATAGACGGATACCGAGAAGTTCCTTCAAAAATAACGTTTCAAGAATATGGGTTACATTGAAAAGAGTTTGTCCTTTCAGCTGCTTTTCCACCGTATGCAAGAGCCAACGAGCGGCCAAGAATTCAGCATATGTTCTATGGCTAAAAATTGGAACATCGTTTTCGCTAAATCCTGTAATAAAAAAATCTTTCGGATAATTATTTTTAAAAACCTGAACATCTTCATTGAATTCTTCTAAATCAAAAGTCAACTTTAGGGCATTATCTGTGAAGAAAGCTTTTAAAGCTAGCTTAGATATAGTTCTGATGTACAAATTATCACTAACTTTTAGTTTTATAAATTTTTCATATATGTCGTGGATGTGCCAGTCCTGTTCTTTCAAGTTATGCTCATGATTCAAAAAAATTTCAGTTAGCATCATGGTTTGTTGACATGTTCCTACAAAAGAATCTTCGAGCAAGTTCCTTATGCTGTCAATAGCTTCCATTGTAGTATTAATGTATTCCTCATTTTTGTCTTTTTGCCTTAAATACTTCCTTATGAACATTTCTTGATCTTTCTTGTTAAATTCTGTAAGCTCCATAGAGAACGCGCCAAAAGCGTTCTCAAATTCCTGTTTCAAATTGGGCCTAGCAACAATCCAGATTCTAAATCCTTGTTTGGTGGCTAATTTAAATAGCTCTAATAAATCTGTTTCGTTAATTTCTTCATAGTCATCTATCAACCATATGATTCTATGCTGAAAGTTCTTATAAAGTGGTTTAAAAAAACGATGGAAAGCCTCATTTAATTTTTCTGTATGACATTCATAAGAAAAGTTGATTAGTTCATCGGCAGTCTTAAATTTTTTAATTGCGGCGCCATGTTTTTTTAAGTCTATGTTAATTACCCACTCTTCAGGCGAAAATTTCGAATGAATAAAATTCAAAAATGTTGATTTTCCCATACCTGCGTCATTACAAACTATATTAACTTTGGAATTTCTGCACATCTCAGTGAGTTCCGTGTCCCTTTTATAATCATAGTTCAAATATTCCCTCAACATCTCTATAGACCCATTTGTATGCATTAGTAAAAAATAACTCTTGCTTATATATTTAAGTGCATAGTATACACGATTTTTTGAAACTTGTTCTATTCGTTTCAAATAGCCATTATTAAATTCCTTACATGTTGTTATGATGTTCTGTGGGGGTCCGAAATCTTCATAAAACTTTTGAAATGATTCGTAATATTCCAGAGACACGCTTCTACGGATTTTAATTTTTGCTGATCTGGGGAAATTAAAAATGAAGAACATAAATTCATCCTCTCCAAGAAGTTCATTTTTCAGTACCGGAACATTCATCCGGCGATTGATATAATAGGAGGGAAGGTCATTTGGTTCACCAATAATACATACTTTTTGCAACAGTTCAATGTAATTATCTACCGATATTTGTTGTTTTACTGAGCTATAATTTTCAAGCAAACTATATAAATCAATATCGGTTTTACCTTGAAATGAAATTTCTAGTTTCTTCGAATGTTTGAAATATACTTCCTCTTCAATATCAGTAAGATTTTGAAATACTTTTGTGTCACCAACAAAGCTTAGCGTATCTTCGTATTCATTAAAAATTACAGAATATATATCTAGTACACGCTGTAATCTACCTTTAAAACTGACAAATAATCTGTTGGTTGATTTAATGAAAAAAGGTACTTTGCGTTGTACAATCAAAAATATATACAGGAGACGTTTGGTGATACTTCCACTGTTTATTAATAAAGTCCCGCTATTTGTAATAAATAAAGACAATTTTTCTTCGACTTGTTTCGACACAATTTTATCCCAGGTAACATCTGGATCATTACAGAAACGTTTTATTTCAAGGAAAATTTCGTTCCACACCAATACAGAAGAATTTTCTTTAGCGATTATTGTAACATCGAATTTGCTTATCATATTATTTAGAACAGACTCGTTAATACCGTCAAGGCAGCGCGGTGGAACATAATCTCCCATAAGTACTTTCAATAAATTCGCCTTCACGTCAAGCTTCCACATCCTGAAGCAATCATCTTTATGTTCCACCCATGTATAAAAAAAGTCTATTATAACTTTAACAGTGTCATCATTTATTTCCAACAAACGTCCGATTTCATTATTTATTGCCTCATGGTCCAATTGTTCTGCGTAGAAATAAAATTGATCTATAAAGTTTTGATCATATTTTCCACTTTTGTTAGTAATTCTTAATGTACTTGTTGGATTCGATGAAGTGTTAATAAATTTGAAAGAGTTTGCTGAACAAAAATCAATATTGTCAGTTCCTCTGTCTTGATTAACCTTACAGTTATTAAAAATTATGAAAAACTTTTCCGTATTGCTAGAAATTTCGTGCATGTCAAAAAAATCTTTGTCCTGCATGATTTTGAAAAAAGCTTTTTCATACAACTTCAAGCCCAGATTCTTGTTAGTTCCGTCTAGTTTTTCTGCTACTATGGGACGCTTTTTCTCCTCGTCTTTGTGCTTTATCTGGATCATGAACAATTTTTTGTCACCACTGCGGTGTTCGGTCAAAAGAATTAAGTCGTCGAATTTGATCACGTCCTGTGGATTGGAAAGAATCCAGAAATCTTTTATGTCTTCGTCTAAAAGACATTTCAATGCGATCAGAGCAAGCATCCTCCTCTCATAATGCTTTCCATGTATTCCTGACTCATCTTTCTTTTTTGATCTCTGAAACAAAATGCCATCAAAAGCGACCAGAAAAAGAAAAATTTTGTACCTATACATACAATAACTTCTTACGAGATTGCCTTCACACAAGGCGTACCTAACAATATCTCTTACTAAACCAAAGTGCTTAAAACATGGAAGAATCCGCCTCAGTTGAACACCCTATATAAACTTTAAATGTTTTAAACAAGAAAACATATATTTTTTTAATATTTCAAAAACGTTAAAGCTTCATAAAATTCGATGCAATAACAATCACATTTAATGTTTAGAAAATGTACGTTCATCTAGTCATCCTTCTGAAGTGAATGTACAAAATGAAGAAGATATAGTAGATTCCGTCATTAGTTGATTACCCAGTGTTTTTGTTAGAGATATATCTGAATTTCATATGTACATATTTTCATTGGCGTATTTTATAAAGGACTGAAACAGTCAACCTCATTGCAATATTTTATTGGAAATTTTTTATATGAAGCAAATTATGTATTTAAAAATATTTGTTTGGAACACTGATTTATTGCGCAACTTTTTTACCTCTTGTAATTTTTCGATAAAATCTATAGTTTTCTAGTAAAAAAATTAAATGCGTCATCATTCACTAAGGGGGTAATTGCGAAAATTACCTGTATATAAAATATATTCAATTTTATAATAAATCTTCAATAAGGTACTTTTACTGTAGCTATGAAAACTATAAACTCTGCTAAACTAATTCTGACTTTATATACTGTAAGAAGAGAAAATTAACTCCAACCCACCAATACAATTTTTTAAAATAAAAATTACTATTTCTCCCTTTCATTGATATAAACCCCATAAAAAAACCTTTTTCATATAATAATGAAATTATATTTTTTTGTCAACAATCTTTCTTCTGGTACGCCAATGGTCTTTTCTAGATTAAGGGTTTAATTTCTTGTTCAATTTAGAAACTTTTTTGTCTCTTCGTATTTGCGGCAAAAAAATAAAATTTTTTGTAACTAGCTAAATTAAAAGCCCGATTTCAAAATCCTCTAGAAGGTTCCGACTAGCCGGATAATAAATATTTTGTTTTCGTAATTTTGATCTTCAGTTTTCAAAAACTACATCTACCTACTTCGATAATTATTGTTTTGAGTTTACTACTTTTTAATTAGGTACTTATTAATTTTATTATACAGGATAACAAAGAATAAACAGGGTTAATTAAGAAATTTCAAAAATCATCGGTTGATGTTTTAGAAAGTCGTTAAGTACTACTTCGTTAAGAATAAATAACAAATTAACAACTATAATAATGCAAACAGCATTACCTATTAAAAAAAAAAAACATTTTAAATATTCTCTACAAGTAGAGGATTTTGAAATTGAGTTACAGGAAATGATTTATTATTTTTTTGCACGAAAACAGCAGCAGATACGAAAATATTACAAGAGACAAAAAAGTTTCTAAATTGAACAGGGAATTAAATCATTGTTCTAGAAAAGACCAGTGGCGTACCGCAAGAAAGTTTGCAGGGCTGAAATGAGGTCCTACCCCAGAAAAAGTACCACTTTGTGGGTCGTGACAACTATTAGGAAGGGCTAATGATGCAGGTAATTTAAGTTAGCCTACGTTCCAAATTTGAGCACATATCTCAAAAACTTTAGGAGGTACCAAAAAACTGAAAACTTATTGATACTCCCTGTATCATGGTAACCAAGCATTTATGGACATATGTTTATATGAACTTTTTTACTTAAAATCATACGCAAATTCACCTCCCCGAACGAAGATATACTGTTATGAAGCATACTGTATAAAGTACTATAGGATAACTGAATCTTGTACTTCCCCGAGGCCATCTAAAAATAGAATTGATCGTACCTTTGGACGACTGTTGTCTGACATTTTCTCAAGACTGTCTCAGCAAAAATACTGTCTATGGCACTGAAGTATTAACTTTCAATCACAGTAATTTTTCACTAAAACTAAAAACTAAAGGGCAAAATGCGACGGATTACGAATTTGACGAATATTAATTGCTTATCAGTAAATGTCTAGCTTGCTTGGGTACAGAGGCGTATTCAGTGAAACAGATAATATACTAGAAATAAAGCTGCTAGAGTTATGTGTAGATTATATCCGAGTTTAATTTTGTTGCTCAGAATATGATATATTGCTTATAGATATTTTGTTAGACTGTTATAGTCTACAAATATGCATTTGGGGTATTACCGAAACAATTTTGATACCTCTACATCATAAGGATCAAGGATCAGTTATTTATGATATTTAGCAGAACAACTACATTTGATGATTTTTAATCCAATTGTCGTTGGTCCACACAAGCAAAAATATTACTAGTCAATGGGCATTTGAATTTGGTGGACCAACCACTGGTAAGAAGAATATGGTGCAACTTTCGTCTAGTATGTTTCTGGAACTGCAGGGACTAACGTTAGTTAGAAGATAAAAAGTGAACACGAATTATTGTTAAGTATTTTTTTTATAAATTTTAATCGTAAATTAAATTTTATGCATATAAGGTCTTTCTCTAACTTAAGCAACTTTAACTGATTTCATAAATTTTTGAAGAAAATTAACAACGTAACTCATTATGTTACAATTTAATTTACGTGTTTTATTTTGTTTTATGTTTTGACAACATACTTTCCTCTGAATTCAAACCTGTCGAGTATCTTGTTTATTATTATATTCGTTTATCTACAGTGTACACCGATAAAATTTATAGAAATGATTTATATTTGTCTTTCTATGTTCGCAGTACCAGCAAGTATATTCCATTTTCTAAGCCTTTAACAAAGATTAGGGCCGAAATTTACTTTCCCTTTTCCCCTGACAAGTAAGAACGAAATTATACTTAACAGTGCATGGAAATCAGAACTTTTCTATTGTCAAAAAAAGTTAATTAAAATACATTTTCAAATATACAGGGTGGTTCAAATTTTATGCAGGAAACTTCGAGGGCAGATAGATCTCTTTAAAATAATATGTGTTTTCCTTATAAACATTGGTCTGGAACAGCCCCGTTTTAGAGATACAGGGTGTTGAAGTTGTTAAAAAAAAATGATTTTTTGTTTATATCTCCGGAATGTATTAACCGATCTCAATAAAATTTGGTACAGATTATGTATGATGTTCTCTAAAATATGAGCTTTATGGGTTCAATAAGTGGTGTACAACTGGACAGGGATCACCCTTTTTACAAAAAAACCTACGCCACTGTATTTTTTACAAGTCGTTGTAACTGATTTATGTTCTAACGCACAAAATACGTGAAAAGATGACTAATTTTTTCCCTAACATTCGCCGTTATCAAGTTATTCATACCAATACAAACCCCTTGTGGCAGACACTTCTAACCATAATATTACAAGAATATTTATGTTTATGCTTAAAAGTACGTGCAATTTGTAAGCACATCAACAAAACTATTTACACTCCTTTCTACACCACCTGTGAGGTAGTGTTCTTGGCGTGTTTTAGTTTTCCCTGGAGGCCTAATACTCTTTACAAATAAGAGATATTTAAATCAAAATAATAATAAAAATATATTTACCAAGCAACAGCAACTAAACAAGAAACAAAATTAACGTTACGAACAATTGTTCAAAATGCGAACCACCCACATCGATACATTTCTGACATCTTCTATTAATGGAATTAATTGAAGCTAATAATATGTGGTGGTTTTCTTTTAATTCCTTACACCCGTCTTCTATTCGTTGCAGTAGTTGTGGTCTTGTATCTGTTGGAGTAAAATAAACTTTACTTTTCAGAGAATCCCAAACAGAAGTCCAGGGGGTTTAGATATGGCAATCTGGCTGGCCAAGACACTGGACCCTCTGTACCATTATAGTTGATATTGGTATTTGGTGGTCTACCTATCCATCGCCCCATATAATTTTTATTAAGCCATTCTTATATTATTCCCCCAGAATGCGTAGGAGCACCATCCATTGTATCCAGTTGATTTGTTGTATATTTAATGCAACATCCTTTAATAATTCAAATAGAAGGTTTTCAATAGAAGGTTCAAGGAATAGGTTTTCTAGAAAGTTTAGAAATGACTGGGAATTTAGACGGTTCGCAAACTTTATTGCGAATTATTCTGAGCCACACGTTCACAGAAAATTCGTGTTGAAAAAATCTTGGCCGAATACCATGAGGATTATCTTGTGACCAAATATGCAGATTGTGAAAATTCACTACCCCTCGCCCTTAGTAAATGCACATTTAATATTATTTTGATTTAAGTTGTTCTTATTTGTAAATATAGTGGGTTATGCTACCAGGGGAAACTAAAACGCGTGAGGAACTCTACCTCACAGGTGGTGTGGAAACGAGTGTAAAGAATTTTGTTGATGTGCTTACAAATTCGACTTACTTTTAAGCATAAACATAAATATTCTTGTAATATTTATGGTTAGAAATGTCTGCACAAGGAGATTGTATTGATATGAATAACTTGAAAACGGCGAATCTTAGGGAAAAAATTCAAGTTACCTTTTTTGCGTATTTTGTGCATTAGAATATAAATTCGTTACAATAACTTGTGAAAAATGCAGTAGCGTAGTTTTTTTTTATAAAAACGGAGTTAATCCCTGCCCAGTTGTACACCACTGGTTATACCTTTAGAGCTCATATTTTAAGCAATGCAAGGCCTACTATCATAAATTATTACCAAATTTTATTGAGATCGATTAATAGATTCCTGAGATATAACCAAAAAATCTATTTTTTTTAACAACTTTAACACCCTGTGTATCTAAGACGTAGCCGTTCCAGACCTATGTTTATAAGGCAAACACATTTTATTTGAAAGAGATCTATCTGCCCTCGAAGTTTCCTGCATAAAATTCAGATTACCCTGTATAAGAAACTTTATTTTGAACAAATCAGGTTGACGATTGTACCATCCTGTTACATGTTACAGTAACTGAAGGCGATGTAAATGAATTGATTTTATAAGTATTACAATTTTTGTTTAGTAAATGTACATAACCGATAATATTCCAAAAAATCAGATTTTACTTAGAACATCAATATAGTCAACACAAATGTTTTTTTAAACGTGTTTTTTTTAGTAATTTTTTCGTTGCTACAAATCTACAGCACTGTAAGGAAAGTACGGGGCGCTATAGAGCATGGAACAAAATGCAGTTACTTAAAATGTTAAAATGTAACACTTGAAATATTAGAACAAATACTATAAGCTGTGCAAATACCACATACTTCTAAGTATATATTAGAAGTCTGTGACAAATACTAACTACATGGAGTGACAGAGAGAAAAAGAGATAGTTCGGGTACCATCCTTCTCTCACAAAAATAACGATTTTTTTAAAGTAATTCTAGAAAATGAACAACGACTCTGTTGTCTACTCTACTACTTCACTTTACTACTTTAGGCAACTTTCGATACGCTGAAGTATACTTGGTTGCCACTTATTTGGTTTCAAATTACTCGTAACTTACGAGTCCTAAGTAAAAAAAGTGAAACAATGAAAATATTTCAATATTTGAAAATATTGGCTGTTTCGATTGTAATTTAAAATTTCTGTAAAATAGGTATTAACGGTTTAATATTCATTCACTGGTTGTCATATTATCCCAACTATATTTATTCGGTTTAAATATTCTGCGTTAGGGTTTTCAGTTCCAGTTAAATATTAGATATCCAGTTTGCAATTATACATATATCTAATTAATATCTATTAATAATATTCCACGGATGCTTGATAGTGATGGTGTTCATAGAAATATACACCTCATCAGTGTGTCAAACAGGATATACTTGTAAGACAGCTCTATATCAATTCTCTACAGATCTGGCAGCAATTTTTGACTTAGAAGACACATTTGATCGAACCTTCCAAACGAATAGAGCTCCGTGGAAGGGTGTGGTTGCTCCGGCAAACTGACAGGTTTGGAGAGACTACGGACTATGAAGATATCTGTCCTATCTATCTCTTTTACTGCTGGATTTGGTTGTAGATGACCTCCATGACAAACTAAATTGATAGATTTTCTGTACCCAAGGAAACGCGGATGATACAGTCTTACTGGGGAAATAAGTTGACGCTATATCTGACCTTATGTATAGACTTTTGAAATTGTGGAACAAAGATGCAGAAACAAGATCCTGAGGGTAAACCCAAAAAAACTACACTCATACTTTTCATAAAAAAAACTTATATAAACGACTGAATATGAGTTAGGAGGCTGGAATGCTCATTTACAAGAAAACTATAAATAAGAGAAAAATGTTGTTAATGGCGGCCAAATCAGCAGTAGGAATAAATCTAGGTAGTGAATCCACGGATGGTACAATGGTGTGAACGACCGTGGCAAGGTTTAGGGCTATATATGGCTTTCCAATCTGGTGGCCAAAAATAAATCAAATGATGGTAGAATTGGAGCTATCCAAACTCCAAAGACTGGCTTGTTTTTGTATTACGGGTACTATGAAAAACAGCAGCTATAGAAACTTTGGACCTATGCATTAAGGCGAAAATGACAATGGGACATACAGATGAACTCAAATGATAACTGACTAACAAACCCAGGACACTCTCTTTTATTTTAACAAATATCTCTAATAGCTGTTTTACATTGACAATTTATTGATGAATAAATTGAGAAAGTTCTTCATTAATTAATTCATGAATTTACTGGTAAACAATGTAGATTTACACTGCTACAGACTTTATCAAGTTTTGACGCATGAATCAGTTCTACCAACGAATCATAGAAGCAAATAAATTTCAAAAATGTCACCTTTCCACTCATAATTGTAGTGATACAACAGCGGTACCGTTTTGACACATATTATATAAATATTAGTGTTTGTAAGTAACAAATCAGTAAAAACAATGCAAAACTAGTATGACGCCACGCAATTATTTACATATTCCAATAACATAACCTCATTACTGATCTGAGGGTGGAAATCTGTTGGGTTGGTACTTCCGAACTTCACGAAGAAATTGACGAAATTTAGAACATGCTCTAATTCGTCAAGAACTTGATGAATAAATTCATGAAGTTATTTGATGCATTACACTTGTCCAATTTCTTGATGAAGCGACTTCATGAATTAATTGATCAATAAATTGTCAATGTGAAACAGCTATAACAAACCCTATATATTTTTAAATCATACTACAGGCCATTATAATGATGAACCCTTATGTAGGGTAAATATTGGGGAGTTCTTGAAAAGACCTTTAAATTGAGTGGTGGTAAAAGTCGTTAGCATGAAAACTAATGAAGTTACAATCAAAATAAAATGATTGTCTTGATTTTTGAGAAAAAAAATCGGTATATATTAACGACTTGACGGAAAAAAATTAAACGTATTTCTTCTGCAATTTACTTTATTTATGTATTAACAGTAGGTTCTGGGAATTTGAACGATTTTAGAAGCCTAAATTTAAAAAAATATTTCATTTACTTTAGAATAAAATTTTTCAATTTTTTAAAAAATTGCCTTTATTCAAAATATTTCAAAAATTAATCAAGTTATAAAAAAATAATAGAATAAGAAATTGTAGGTTTTTTCTTACTGAACAATTTGCTTTTTTTTAATTTTTGTAGGACAAAATTTGACTGAGTTGACCGTTAGAACACAGCCTAGAGGCTGTGGTTAGCTCCAAGACTGCCTTTCCTGAGCCCTTTTAGCTTATAAATCTAAAAAACGAAGGGTTCAAAAAAACTGCAAATCGCAGAACTTAAAGTGCTTTAAATTCTCTACAAAATGGTTTTTTGAGTAAATTTATAACTTTAAAATTACAAAAGTTATGGTAAAAAAATTAATCGCATTTTTTCGGTAAAATTTTCGGAGCAGGTAAATTACCATCATCTTTGTGTATTTTGGAGCACTTGTGAACTGATTTGAGTAAGTATTTTAATAATTGCAATTGCAAAAAAGAATGCGGCGCAACTTGTGGTTGCAGAAAAGTTGGACTTTTTTGCAATCCTACGTGTGGTTCATGTTCTGACGATAATTGTAACAATTGTCCTCCAATTTTGGACGAAAGCGAGGTTGAATATAGTGACGATAGTGATGAAAATTAAATATTTTATTATATACACATTTAAAAAATAACAGACCATTTTTAAAACATTTTGTACAATACATCCATTTATAATGTATATAAAATTTTTTTATTTGATATTAATTTAATAAAAAAATATTAAGAATAAATTCAATAAAATTAAAAAAAATAATAATTATATCGTTATAGGCACATATAATTTTTAGGAAATTTTTCTATAAGGGGTAGGGTTTTTTATGAGGCGTAGGTCTTCCATAAGGGTTTTTTTGGTGGCTGAAAAGTTGTAATATATCATAGATCATTTGAAAACCAATAAAAAGTTTATAATTCAACATATGCATACCATTAAAACATCTCAAGCTTTCAATAATATTTTATTTTATTATAAGGGATGGTTTTTAAGGGTTGCAACTTTGTAATGAGTCGTAAGCTTTCTAATGAATAACAAAAGAAATGCAATACATTGTGAATGCACCAAAAGAATATTTTAAACTGTTAAAAACTTTTTTTTTTAATTTTTTGGCCATGGAAGGTTAGTTTTTAAGGATTTTTAAGGGTTGAAAAGTAATTAAATTTCATAAATTATATTAAAAAACATGAAAGGAACTTTATCCAACATATTTGAACATGAATTGAATCTTTAAAATACGTAAATCTGCGATTTTCGCATTTTTTTCGTACAAGGGTAGTTTTCACCCCCAAATAGAAAAAAGCACACATCTAGACAATATAACTTTTGAAGTGGGGGGTCAGATGAGCTTGTATGCAAATTTTCAGGAAAATCCATGCTATCCGAAAAAATTGGGAGCTTTTACTTTATTTTCGCCTTCAGTGACTGGACTATATAGACAACATCGTTCCTTAGAAATAAGAAAATTAAGTCATTTAATAAAAACATTTGTAATATAAAAAACAAAAACAAAATATATAATACCTGCGATAACAATAAAGTAGAGAAAAAAATAATATTACGAACTAGTTGCAATAAATAAAGGTAAGATAAAGACTTAATTATTTAATTTCTTGATAAAAAATAAGATATTTATGTTTTTTTGTAACGGATATTCATGACACATTTTACAAGACTGTGTGTTATTATCACGTAGGTCACTATTTGACCTTTAATATGATAAATGTGAGCTATTATTCATCGTATTGATTGTACATACATTTTTAAACATTTTTGTTTGTTGGTTAGTGTTGTACAGCTCGACAGCTCTGTTGTTATATAAAATACCTAATATATCGAGATTAGAGTAATATTTACTCAACGTAAGGTGCAGAGTTAAAATTTTTAATTGATTTACATATATTCATGACGTGAGTAAATCCGTTTGATATTGATATACCCTTTAAGTATGAAAAAAATTCCAATGAGCGCATAATTTAAGGAAATTTATCCGAAATTTTCTTAATGTGGTCAATTGAAATTTGAATAAGAAATATTTTCGGTAGTAGGTTACAGAATCAGTGGTAGTTATAAGTGTTGGGTTTCTAAAACTAAACGGCTGTACGAAACGTGTATATTATAACGATATCTCAAAATGAGGTCAATATGTCCACATTTAACATTGGACATTTGATAATAGTGGAGTTATTGAACACACCTTTACTAATTGGCCACTTATAAGACCGACGCTAATTAAATAAGTGTTGACCTTTATCTCAAAAGCACGTTTTATTGCTTTGGGAAAACCAGCCTAAAATTTCGTCTACCCTTAACACAATTTTCCGGAACCGGTAATAACGTCGTCGATAAAATAATTATTTTTGCACGATCTTTTCCAGCCATCTGTCGAAACTCGGGCCAGACAATTCAATCAGGAGCCGGCGTAGGTTGAACGAAAAGAATTCCAGTTCGTTTTCGCATTGTCTAATGGGTTTTATACTTTTATACTAGACTCTGGCGTAACCTCAACTTACCTGAGCCCCACTACGGATAGGTAGAAGGCGCAGGATGGCGATGGTGAACCGGAGGCCACAGACATGCCTCAGATTGAGTCCGCTGACCGTCGTTGAAGTCACATAATAAAATTTACAACCTCAGTTATGTGAACTACATGGTGCGCTATTTTTTCGTTGTTGCCATCTACAGAGACTGCAGTGGATTACAGTGATAGTGTCTCAGTGCACTGACGTACAATGACACGTAAATATTTAGTGATCTTTTTAGGATATGCGGTGGTGTTAGTGCTGAGGAGTGTTGTGGCCGAAGAATGTTCGCAGGATATTTCTAACGAAAACTGCAGTTTAACGACACATAACAATGGTGAGATCTAAAACTATCTTCGTTCGGCTTATTACGTGATCGAGCAACGGGTTTAGCACGAAAACAATCGTTTGTTTGCTAAACTAATGTCAGTTTGTTTCACGCGACAACGAAAAGTACAGTTCTGACTTAAGTATCTCCTTTCCTATTTGGCGCTAAAAGAAACGTTACCTACATATGATTCGTGCAAGACGTAACTGCGTGTTCTGTTGTAGACGATAAATCTACTGTTCGTAGAGGTAGAGAACTGTGCTTTCATTAATTAATCGAGTCGACTGAATTGTTTTTTCTGTTATCTACTAACAGAACGAGGCAAATACCAGTAAATTAATATTTACAACACACATGCCTGTTTTCAATATTTTCTAAAAACTTTCTTTGCTAATGAAGTAAATGCCAAAGTTAGTGAAAGTATCGAATGTATAGTCAATTACCATATCTTTGCTAATTAATAATGTATGTCTCATATGAACTGGACTTTCGTTTCCAAAATATAATTTGATAAACTTTATGCAAAGGTCATAATTTCATGCTTAGGACATGGAAATTGTTTTATTTCTTCAAATACCAAAACAAAACAAAAAATATAACAGGAATGCTCAAAAACGTCATAGTACTTCCATTTAAAGGTGCCAGAATATTAGTTAATTAAGGTTGAACAAGAGGTTGAAAGAAAGTATGTCAATGTATTTCAAATTAGAGAATTTTGAATTATTTTTGAAGGAACCAATCTAAAAAACTCGTTTTATCGAAAATTTATAGAACTGTAAACATGTGATGTACAATTTCACCTCAAAAATTATTTTCATTGAAAGCGACACATTCGATTCTTTAAAATGATTTACTTTTTACCTTTGTTGTCAAATAAATTCAGAATGTTTCAAAATATTAATTTATACTACTTCAGATATGTGCTACTACTTAAATTAATGAAAACCTTGTATTATTCAATTTGAATGTGACAATGTGTATTTTGCATATATGTATACATTTTTAAGAGCAGAAACCTGTTTTATTATTAAACATTCTTTTTCTGCCAAGTTATAAATATGATAAATAATAATTTTAATTAATTTAATGTCATGTGCTATCTGATATTTTCTGTAACTTTCACCAGGTATGAATAGAAAAAACTTGTTTGTACTTGAACCTTTTTATCACTTTGCCGTATTAACACCTAATTAGCAAAAAACATGTTCGTCTCTCTCATTCTAAAACTGTCAAAAATAATTATAACGAAAAGTTAAGTTACTTTTTGAAGTGCATATACAGGTTGTTTTCAAAAGAAGTAGCACAAATGGTACCGGGGTATCTACGGCTAAAAAGAACACATTTTGTATAAAAATGACCTTAGTCAAATGTTCACCCCTTAGGAGATACAGCCTCTCAAAGTTTCCAAAAAAAACATGGAATAGCGGATGTAATTTGAAAATCAAAGTCAAGTTTACACAAACTTTTTTCTAGTGCATGTACATCTTCTCAACAATTTTTCGAAAATTTCTGCATCTTGGAGGGGGTTGAAATAAGCATTCCCTAAATTATTTTTTGCTACAACTTTTTTGTTTAACAAAAATTTAATATTCAAAAATATGTAGGTATCATAGTAGCCTGGTTTATTTTAAAACTTTTACCTCTCACTTTTTTTGCTTCGACCGTTTATTAACTAAACATTTTTTGAAAAATTGTTGAGAAGTGCATTATAGGCTATCGATTATAGGATTTTAAAAGGAACTATGACATTCAAGATATTTTATTACATGAATCGTTCAAATGGTCATTTTAGATGAAAAAACCGCAGAGTGCTATTGGAAATTGGAGAGAGGGGTGAAAATGCACCCCTTTCAGTTTTTTAATTGTAGCTCGAAAACGAAGCAAAATTTCGCTAGTTATAGGAAAAATTATTTAGAGAATTGAATTACCCATCGAAATGGGTTAGTAGAAGTAGGCAAAGAAAATTCCCGTACAAAAAAACTAGATGAGATTCCCTTCAAAATGATACGTTTTCAAAAGTTTTTGGACTAATATTGACTGAGTTATAACCGGTCAAACTTAAACATTTTTTAGATTTTCGTCGTTTTTAACATAATCATTATAATTCTTATTATTTTTACAAAAAAGTAACGGTAAAAGTCGACCTTGTAGACTTGTAACGAAACAGAAATACATTTCAATTAAATAATTTTAGAAATCTAAATGTTTTTAAATTCTAAACAATATTTGAGTATAATTAATAAGTAGCTTTTAAATTAAATTATTTATATCTTATTATAAATCTCCTTATTTGAGATAGTAAAAAAGAAGTGTAATATGATAAACTGTAACTTCCTTTTACAAATCTCTCATAGTTTCATACAGTTGTGAAAATATTTATTTATTATTAACAAATAAAACTTTTGAAATAATAAGAATTATAATCATTATTATGTTAAAAGCAACGAAAATCTAAAAAATATTTAAGTTTGACAGGTTATAACTCAGTCAATATTTTAGTCCAAAAACTTTTGAAAACTTAAAAAAAAGCTAGAGGCAAAAAAGTAAAAAAAAACAAAAAATCGAATTTTTTGCTTTTTTTTTTCAAATTGTTTATTAACGAGTTTTTGCATAAAATTTACCTTTTAAATTTTTTAAATAAGCTATTTCGACGGTAAATTCACTTCTCTAAATAATTTTTCCTATGAACTATAGCGAAATTTTGCTTCGTTTTCGAGCTACTATTAAAAAACTGAAAGGGGTGCATTTTCACCCCTACCTCCAATTTCAATCCTCTGATTTAATAGCACTCCGCGGTTTTTTTTATCTCCGAACGATTCATGCAATAAAATTGCTTGAACGCCATAGTTCCTTTTAACCCTGTTTTTTTTTCGGATAAAATCAATAGCCTATTAGTAGAAAATTTGTGTAAAATTTGATATCCTAATTGATGAACATTTTACTAAAATCATTTTTATGTAAATCGTATTCTTTTTACCGGTATCATTTGTGCTACTTCTATTGAAAATTCTCTCTATAGTGATGTGTTTTTTTTGTAAAACTTCCCTTTGGTGCAAATGTTTATTTAATTTTTTTATTTTCTTTTTTCACATTTGGCGAAATACCCAAAAAATAAAGAAAACACTTAATTAGCAGCTTTGACATAAATAAGAAAATGTTTACCATCTAACGTACTATTAAGTTAAAATGGAAGGAGAGAGACAAACACATTTTTCTTTATATTATACATTAAATTTTATAGAGGTTACTGGCCTAAGAATACTACGGATCATTGTATGATAATACGAAGTGTACAGCCTTAACAAAATTGATGTATCATAATTGCTAATAATTTTTTTCCACTAGCTCATTTACGTTGTGCAGATTTTGGGGATACTGTATAATCCTTTAACAGCGCCGTTAAAGCAACAATGCAAAAACCGTTTATTGACCTAGTTATATGCTAATGATTTCTTTGTTATCTTTGAATTATTTCACTAAAATGTAGCGTTAGCTATTTTGAAAAAATAAGGTTCTATTCTCTCATAATCTGGTTACTCAGGGGTCATCAAAACATCACCTTAATAATAATAATTATCAGAAATTGCATGAACTAATGTGTTGATAAACGCTTTATTATACTATACTGTATTGTATGTTAGAAGACTTAAAAGTAATTTTTGCAGATTACAGAAATGTTTTTTTCTCCCGTACAGGATTGCATGGGCCCAAAGTTTTAGGAAATTTTCTTGTCATTTCGAAACTGTTCTTAGAATGTTGCATTTCGGCGATACAAGCCAAACTTACGTATTTTTTTGACAAACATCCTGTATATTTTCCTTAGAAGTACAGTGTATGCTAACAGTAAACTCTTTAGACTTTTTTGGTCATATATCTCTTACTAATATAGACATACCTATCAAACTTAATATAATCGCTCTATCCAAATATACAGGGTGATCTGTCAAAAAATATATTTGTCTTGTATTCCCAACATGCAACATAAGAAAATTTCCTATAAGTTTAGTCTATACCATTTTCTTCTAAATACGAAAGTGAAAAAGGTAATGATGAATATTATACGAATACAAATGCACATTGAATTTTTTTTATAATAATCATGAGTGAAATGCCACTGTATCTACAGGGCTGGCCAGAAGTACGGAATAAAATTCATATTTTTTTAATGAGTTATTTTGAAACACGTTAACTGATTTTGATTTTTTCCCATCTTTCGGTTATATAATAATTAATTTTTCTTCAACCCCCTAGCCCCCAGCTACCCCTACTTTTTTTTTTAAATGGAAACATAAGGCTTGAGGGGTCTGGTTGAAAAGCTTATAGAAAACCGAATCCAGCCATACCAAATAAACAAATTTTATTTTTTTCAATAGCAAAGTTTTTAGGGTTGAATAAAACACCTACTTAACAAGTGAAACAAAATTTAATTATCTTCAGTGTTATCCTCCATGAATTTGCACAGAATAAAATAAAGAATTTGAAACTGTACCTATCGCTGCTAACGCAAAAAAGATATATTTTTTATGTTGCGTTTTTTTGGCACCACTTACTTGCCAGGCTTTCTGGTTAATTTTTCGCTTTAGTTGTAAATTGGAGTTCGAAACGTTACTATTGTGTCAAAATCAAGTTATTTACTGAATTGCAATGGTATTGTCGGAAAGGCAACGCATCGAAATCTTGATATTGCTTGGATGTGGAGACAAAATAAGAAGTCAGGCTGAAGTGCGC